ACTCAATACCTTCTACCAACAATAAACTTAAAAAGAAATTCAACAAAAAATTGAGGATCACAATCAACTTTTCCAATCACAACCTAAAAAATTCTTTAAAAACATTTTAGAAAAATACAATAGCATATATATTGATAGACTTCTAACAAATAACTCTTTATTAGTAGAAAAAGATCATATTAAATAAGCTATTCACACTCATTTTACTAAATACTTTAATGAAAAACCTCTTCAACAAATTCAACCTACATCTGATTATTACTAACTATACCAACCTCATTCTGAACTTAAAATATACTACCAAGACTTATTCAACAATATTTCTAACAATGAATGACAAAATACTATTCAAAATCTTCCTTTTTAAAAAGCTACAGGTCCTCTTGAAACAAATAATGAACACATTAAATATGTAGGCCATATTAACCAAATTTTTCTTAAATTATTTATCAACAAATGTCTTCAACTTCAAAAAATTCCATCTGACTGGAAAACATTTAATATTTTCCTCATTCCAAAAAAATCTTTATAGGACTTTACACTTAATCAAGTTTGTCCTATCTCAATTATAGAACTAATGAAAAAATGTTTTACTAAAATCTTTATACAAAGACTAGATTATATTATTAATTCTAATAAACTCTTTTCAAATCTCAACTTTGCCATTACCAAAAACTCTTTAACATATATCCCTATTCACATTCTTAACAATACTATTAAACACTATAAAAATTTTAACAAAGAAGTTTGGATAATGTTTCAAGACATGTCTAAAGCCTTTGATAAAATCAACATATCTCGATTACAGGATACTTATAAAAGAATTGGTATTCCTTTTAAAGGAATCAAACTTATTACTGAACTATATACAGATCATCAAATTAGAATAATTACTGTACATGGTTTTACATCACCTGTTCATATCAAATCAGATATTGAACAAGGTGAAACATACTTCTTTTCTTTGGAAAATTTATTATAATCCATTCTAACTTATATTCATAATAAATATAACAATCATTTATTTAAAATTACTTTCTCTTCTTTGGAAAATTTATTATGATTCAATTCTAATCTATATTTATAATAAATATAATAATCATTTATCTAAAATTACCTCTTCTTTACCACTTGAAATTATTTCCAATATACTACATTCTTCAATAACTATATCTCTCATGGCTTTCATGAATGATACTGTTTGGCACAGTAAAAACTCTGAAACCCTCTAACATATTCTTAATAATATATAACAACTATACAATCTTAATAATATTGAAATTAATTCAACTAAATCTGATCTTTTATATATCTCTCAAAACAAAAACAAACTAAATATTACTATACCAACACTTTATTACAATAACTAAATAATACTTTTATATAAACTACATGAAATCATATGATACTTTGGTATCTAATTTGGTGGAAATGGTTCTACTAAACTAACTTTTGAAATGCTTCAAAACAAAATTAAAAACTTTCTCTTATTAATTAAATATAAAAAACTTACATCTAAACAAATTCTGTATCCTTTAATATAATACTACAACCATCTTTAGAATATCTTTTACAAATCTTATTTATATTCAAAACACAACAACAAAAACTCTCATGACTACTTTTAATTACAATAAAAAAATGCTTCATTTAGCAAAAAATATATTTAATATTCTTCTTACAAACTCATTAGCTTTTAAACTTACAATATTTAATACTTAATTCAAAAAGTCACAATATCAATAATGAAATATATCTTCTATTCTACCTCATTTCTTAAACATATTGGTAAAGCCAAAATTAAAAACTGGCTTACTAAAATATGACAATCACTTTTTCTTCTAATTACACTCTCTAAATTCTTACTTAAAACCAAAAAATTTCTTTTATTTTTCAACTTTCACTTTTATATAACTCTAATATTTATTTTTTATTTAATAATTTATTAAATTTATTACCAACTAATATTCCTATAACAACAAAAACAATATATGACATTCTTCTATCTAATATCTCACCCTCTTTAACAAATAGTCTCTGTAATAATAAAATACTCTTTATTGAACAAATCACAATTGCTGACAACTTATATCTTTTATCTTAGAATAATATATATATACAAACTAAAAAATCTAGTCATAAATTCACTCCTTCCTAGTTCACTAAACTTTGTAATCTAATTCAAAATAATACTATATATCAAACATAATTACATCTTAATCTATCTAATATTAACAATTTTATTAATTTTCTTAATACAATTATATTCTATTACCTATTACCATTAAATCAATAAACAATTCTTCTTAATAACTCTCAAATTCTTTTTACAAAGAATTCATCTAATTCTTTCTTAATCAACAACACTGCTCATGTCTTAATATCATTGACTTCTGCTAACCCACCTATGTTGATACCTTAAACTTTTATTAATATTTCAAATATTAAATCATCAAAAAAAGAAAATATCTATTCTCTTAATATTGATAATTATGAAATTTATGTACTTATCTATATACTACAACAAACTTCTCTACCACTTACACCAACTCAAATCTCAACTATATACATTTTTGAAATAGAAATACAAATAATACAAAAATACATATCATCCTCCAACTACCAAAATCAACTTATTGAATTATTCTTATTAGCAAAAAATCTTCTAAACAATACTCATTCCTATACAGATGTCTCAATTATTAATACCCAAACATCACATCCTAAAATTGAAATTGGATGGATTTCTGAATATAATACCCAAATTAAATTTAATTGTTTTATTTTTTCATATCCTGACTCTACCTAAGCAGAAATTGAAGTAATAATATATCTTCTCCTTATCTTGTCAATAAATTTACAAAATAATATATATTTAGATAATCTCTCTGTACTTAAAAATATTTAATTATTTTTATTAATATATAAATTCTCTTATATAAAAAACTAGGATATTTTATTCATTATTCATCATCTTATTAAAACAAAGTCTCTTAATATCTCTTTTCATAAAATCAAATCTCACTCTAATAACTCTTTCTACAATCAAACTGATCTCCTAGCCAAACAAGGTACTAATAAATACCAAATTATATCTAATTTTAAAACAATACTTTCTTCCTACTTTACATGATATAATTATATAATTCTTACTAAAACTTGCTTCTTTCTCCAAAATACAATAACTATTCAATCACTTCTTACTTGGTTACAACTTAAATACTTTCAAAACCCACTTTCTATTAAATGGTCTATCAATCTTAATATTATTAATTTACTTAATAATGATCAAAAATTCTATTTATTTCGACTAAAAATTATCAATAATAATTTACCAACTATGCAAAATCTTAATATATGCCATCTTTTATTATACACTATTTCAAATTGTGTTTATTGTCAATTAATCAAAGATATACCTTATCTATTAACTTGCTCTAAACAAAAATTTAACCTTTAACAAATTCTTCATAGCTTAACTACAAATATTACTCAACAATTAAATATCTTTACTGAAATTACAAATACTATTCATACTACATTATTCCACTATCTTAATACATCATCACATCTTAATTTTTGAATCTTATTCAAGACTTTTACTTCATATTTTTATATAATAATATTAAAATACTTCTTCATAAAACAACATTACCCTTCTTCACAACCTTATCAAATGTTTCTCTTAATTAGTTCTATCAACAAATATGACTATTACATAACACTCTTTGACAACAATGAAAAAAAACTTACAATATAACTAACAAATCCAAATATTCAAAAATCTACTTTCTAATTCCCATCTCTCAATCAGCATCTAATATCTTAAATACATCTACTATTGACCCTACTATATCTATTAAAAACTGACTATTTTTAGGCTATTCACTTACTAATTGTATTTACTAAATACCAAGACTATCACTTTAGGTTTTTCTCCAACTTTCTATACTTAAAATTAATTTAAAATAATTAATAATAGTGTTATATAGAAATGGAGGTGTAATGTCACATTGAGTGTTTTAAAATAAGTAGCACAAATATAGTTTAGAAATCTTTAATGTAATTCTTCTATTACTTAATAAAGTTTCTACTTTGGGATTTCAAAAAAAAAAAAAAAAAATTATTAAATATATTTAGCAATATTTTAATGATTGAACAATTTCCAAAAACATCCAATCACAATTATTAAACACAATATGGCAGCAAGAATACCAACCCAAATCTAATGTTAATCTTGTATAGTATAATCAATACTCAATAATTTGTCTTTTATAGAAGACTTTAAGATACTTAATAAATACCCTAACAATAAAGCATGTGGGTTATCAGGCATTAGTTATAAGATACATCAGAACGTCCGAAAGATGTTAAAAACGCTTTTAAAATGTCGGCTAACAAACTCTTTATAGGTAAAGGATTTCTATTAGTAAAATTGGAGTTCCAGTCCGGCTAAATCTGACATCCATTTATCCATTTACTATTGATATTTGGATAAACCGACGAATACTCGGATAATTATTCGGATATCAAATCTGGATATCCAATAGATAAATAGATAAACAGATAATGAATAGGAACACTGAGTAAAATTTGTGTTAAACACTAAAAGTGTGGTAAGCTACTCTAGTTATTTAACTGCAATAACTAAAGTTGCTTAACACTAATTTTATTAATAAAAATCGGTAACTTATAAAGGATTTGTTATCCGACATTTATAAGGTGTTTTTTAACATCTTTCGAATTCCTGATGTAGTAGTTAAGATTCATGACATTGTGAGAAGCTTATGATTTTGATATACAAATATGTATAGGTTCACGAGAAAACTGGAGTCTAGATAAGTGAAAAAAGATAAAGACACAAAGTTGCCTCCGCTTTTGAAATGTTTACTACGCTTTATTATTTAGTTGTGAGTTAGAGAATTGAACGCTGATAGACTTTATTTAAAATAAAACTAATTGTCTTTTTTCGCGTTTCTCATTAAAAATCACTTTTAGGTCTATATTTTTTCATCAGGCAATCCTTTACGATTATCTAATGCTTCCTCACGCCCTGATACGAGTTTATTGCCCTTCGTTATAAGGTCATCAACAGATAAATAATACTATATAAGCAAATAAAAATAAAGATTATTAAAAAAAATTAGGGAACCAGGGTGGGACAACAATGTAATAATAATTGACAATGATAATAATAAAATAAGGATGATAACAAAACTAATAATAATATTCGAATATGTATTGAAGGTAACGACGAGTTATTTAGAATTAAGCTAATTTAAATAGTATAAATTCAGACCGAATAGAGTACAAAAAGCTGTATATCGTTGTATTATTGAAAGTTTTAATGATTCACTAATCTAACTATTTATTCTATTTTCTAGTTTTCACGTCAGGTTTCCTATAACATCTAGAAATAAGACCATATGGTTCACTACTACTTAATTTGTCTAAAAAAGAAAAAAAAAGGTTTTAAAAAACATGATACTGATTTAGTTAACTATATGAAAATACTTACGAAATAAACATAGATAAAAACTGAGCATTAAACTGTAAATAGCGGAAATATTTCCTAAAATATCTGCAATCTATTTTGAAGAAAATTAGACCATTTAGCTTTTTTTAACTGAAAAATAATACTAGTACTCACTGTACGGTTCCTTTAATAAAAATTTTTTTAGCATAAAAAACTATATAATTGACTAAATTAAACAAAAAAAGTTTACTTTTGTTCTTTTTCAACTTCTACCATAATAGTTCTCGGATTGATATTTATTTGAGCGAAAAAATTTGTATTTGGTGAATTTACCATATATGGTATAATTTCTAAATTGCAATAAACGATAACGATAAATAAAATAATTATATAGGTCATGATAAAAATATAAATTCTTACGTATTCCTGATTCTATATAATAATATGTTCCATTACTATAATTTGGAGCAAACCCAATTTTGGTTAAATATGAATCATCCATGTCTTGTCTTTTTTTCCTGTTAAATTTTAAAAAATAAACCTAAAAAAAATTTCAATTTAATATTCTTATATTAAAAAATCCTTTTAATATGCATTTCTTACATTATTTCCAAAACCTCCCTTGGTAATAAAATAATGGTTTTGCAAATTGTAAAAATCAACATATGGTGGTGGATTATGATATGATAAGTATTCTATTTTTAATATTATAAATTATAGTAAAATTAATAATATATAATTAATATTAAGAAAAATAGCTCATCTCAATTTCGCCGACATCTAATTGGCCGACACCTATTTCACCGACAGCTCACTTCTCTGACAACGCATTTCACCCACAGTCCATTGACTCGTTTTATAGTTAGTAATAACTAGAGGTAAATAGTGAAATAGAAGTCGTGAAGTGACTGTCGAGGAAATGGACTGTCAGCGAAATGTTTTGCCAGAGAAGTTGGCTGTCGGTGAAATGGCCGTCAGTGAAATAGGTGTCGGCGAATTAGGTGTCAGCGAAATCGACCAAATCAAGAATAGATACCTGTATCAAATACAATCATATTCATATTATTGGTTTCAATGAGACTATTATATGTATTATCATTTATATAAATATAAAAAATAAAGGCAGTTCGATCATTTTTAAAAGTTAATTTTCCATTTGGAAGATACCAAACAGAATTTCCAAAATTAATATCACTGAAGATGGTATTATTCCTATCAGTATTATCAAAATAACGATCACAATCTGCAAATGCTTTAAGTAATTGAATCAGTTTAGTTATTAATATCCGGTGCCATTTACTTCACCGACATCACATATGGTTAGGATTAGCATTTTATTAGTCACTGGTATATTTTTTAAATAAAATGACACCTAGCGTGATATTAGCCAAATAAGCTATCAGTAAAATGATTGTCGGTGAAATAATACGGACCAACTATATCTATATGAACTAATTAAAAAAATTTTTAGTTCTTACTTTGATTATCACAATAGACAGTAAAACTTCTATCAAAAGTAAAATAGACATCTATATGTTTTGTAAATTAGCATTAAATCAAGAGAAGAAAGATTAAAATAAAAAATTAAGTTTACTTGGCATTGGTACAGAATCAACATTTTTATCATAGCTGATTTTAATACTAGGTTCTTCATCGATCATTTTTTCAATTAATATAGTAAATAAAGCTGATAATAAAAATAAAAGAATCACAATTACAGTAGCTCGCCAGCATTGTAATTGGCACGGTGTATCTTTTCTGAATAGGTCAAAAAAAAACATTTTAAAAAGCTGTCGTTGATATCATTATCATTACTCATTTATTTACCGTATTTAAATAAAAAAATTTTAAAGGGATTACGATTTTTAATATTTGTTAGAAACTGTGTACCTCCACGGTTGCATATTTCTCAAATGTACAGTCTCTCTGAAAGTTACACAAAAACATAAAACTACGTAATAGTAATAAAATTCTTATTAATCATTATTACTTTTAATTTTAGGCAATTTATGTGTAAATGAGATACTGATTTCGAATGAGATTGTACACATGGCGCGGAAAAATAAAAACTTATATTTCTTTTTAAAGAGTAGCGATATATTATTAAAAGTAAACTTTTACTAAATTACTAACTTTAATAGTAGATAAATAAATATGCAATGCATATACTGCGCAAAAATCCAAAAAGCGGAATTTAACCTTTCTTCATAGAGGCAGAATAAATATTGAAAACAAATATTAATTAAATCATCAATACCGATAAAGTGTATACGTAAATATCTTATTAAAGTTGATGAAAAATATTAAATCTCTATTGTGCTACTTAATTATTATCTTAACATAACGATAATTAGTATCAATCTAGTGATTGTACCCGATTAAAAAGTGCTACCGGGTTATCCGACGGACAAATCCGCGGTTTACCCGGGTGATCGACGGATACCCTGGGACCCGTACCCATATATATATTGATATTATTTGTGTGACCAGAGAGTCAGTTTTGATGGGAAAATTACTTGTCAAAAATAATAGAGAAATAAGTATCGGAGAAAATTATTGTAAGGGAAATAATAAAGCTACCCAGTAAGACTGCGAAAGATGTACCAATCGAATCTCCTAATAATCTGCATCAATAAGGTATTCTGATCAGGAAATCACGTTTTTTGTTACAAAAACTGGCAATGAAACTAGTTTATGCGTACTATCAAAACAAATTCCTTGCAATGATATAAGCTCTATTTGAGTTGTAATCTAACCTTAACGTAAGGTTTATTGTTTTAAAATATTGCGCGTATTTGATTGTCTTGTGTTAGTGAAAAATGAAGTAATTGTTAGGGAAAATCTTTTGAAAATGATTACCAGGTACATCTGGTAGCAGCAGTCACAACCGTATATCCGATTATTTGTGGATAACCCGGATAATACCCGACCCAAGTACACATCTCTAAAATAATCCAAATAAACATTATAATCGATGTTTGAGCAATCCCTTATTAATTCTTCAATTATTTACCAAATGAGATATGAAAAAACCTGCAAATAATGCTTTTTGAATATTAACAATAAAAATATTTTAACACAAGCAATCTAATAATGCTTAAGATTTTAATATCATTTGAATCATCTCACTAAGAGATTCGAAAATATTGAAATATTAAGTTTTAAAGATATATTATTAAAAGTAAATACAGTATTCAAAAAAATATGATTTACAGCTTTTCTCTTCCCGTAACTCAAACATTATCAAAAATTAAAAAAGAAGTATAATAAATAAAAAAGAACAAAAGTAACTGCCAATAATAACTAAATTATTTTAGTCAAATCGATTACAATATTATTTTAATTAACTATAGTAAATGAGGAAGCATCGTAATGATTACGTCGAAAATGATGCTCAAGTGCATAACAAAAATAAATATTAAATTATTGAATTTGATATTAATGTATACATTTTATTGGTGTTAACAGCTTAAGAAATATTTATTTGATTTCAATGTATATTCTGATACTGTAATTCGGGTATTTATTTGGCTTATCCTGATTAGAGATGGGTTTCATGCGTGCGCATGATTCTGTTTCATGCACATTTTATCCCATCAAGATTTCTCTCCTCTCGATCGGTGGGGTTACCTTTTTTTATCATGCGATATCATGCGCATGTTATTATAATATGCGAATTCTTTCCATCACTAATCCTGATAGTTTATGTGCTTATCCATAATCTATATCACTCAGCTACCATACAGCGGTCTAAAATACTCAGGGTACTTTACAAGTCAGAGAAATACTATAGTTAGTAGAGATGGGCACGCGCGGGATTTTTAATATGATCCCGAAATAAGATTATTTGGCCGGCATTACCATAATATCTGGCTGGC